ACACTTTTTAGTCTTGAAGACGATGAGAAAACGCTCGGACTTTTGCTATAAAGGAATGATTGCTTTTTAAAATTGAATTTTGCTCAATTCAATTAATCTATCGATCAATTAATTAGTAAATGATAACTTGAATCAAAACATACGCTTACTATTATTATTTCATTATTTCATATTATTTTCTTATAGACCCGTATGCAAATACTGAATCCCAATCCGGCAGCAGTTTATTCCGGAGTAGCGAATGCATTTACACGTATTAGTACAACAGAAGGAGTGAAGACATTATGGAAAGGTGTTAACTCTGTTATCTTGGGAGCGGGTCCTTCGCACGCTCTATATTTTGGAACTTATGAAGTGTGTAAGGATATTTTTGGCGCAAATAAAACACAAGGACATCATCCAATAGCAACTGGTAAAATTATAACTTTAATAATTTGCTATTTAACTATGAATGCATGCTAATTTTTTTCTTTTAAATTAGCTATAGCGGGAGCATGTGCTACCGTAGCAAGTGACGCATTAATGAACCCATTCGATGGTATGTACATTCAGATTACTTCAAATTAATTTATCGTCAATATATTTTCTATTATAATTAATCATTTTGATGATGACAGTTATAAAACAGCGGATGCAAGTTCATGGATCAACATATAGAAATGTTATAGAATGTGCACGAACAGTATATAAACTTGAAGGATTAACGGCATTCTATATTTCATATCCAACTACACTCACGATGACTATACCATTTCAAGCTGCACAATTTTCCTCGTACGAATACTTTCGAAAAGTATTAAATCCTCGTGGAAATTACGATCCAAAAACGCATGTAATTGCAGGTGGGCTAGCAGGAGCAATCGCTGCAGCGGCAACAACACCACTGGACGTGGCCAAAACATTATTACAAACAAGAGGAAACGCTGATGACACACGAATACGGAATTGCTCCGGGCTATTGGAGGCATTTCGTATAATTTATGATCAGAATGGTATGAAGGGATTTATGAAAGGTCTCAAACCAAGAGTACTATCTCATATGCCATCGACAGCCATTTGTTGGTCGGTGTATGAATATTTCAAGTGGTTTATCAGTGCACAGGAAAGGGAAAGATTACCGGATAAATTTCATCTTCCCCAATAATAAAATGAAAAAAAAGTTAATTAATTCTGGATTGCATTTACTTATTTTGATAATATTTATTTTTCATCTTGATTTTATTTTATTATTACTATCCTCCGGTATAACTATTACTGCTATAATTATTATTATTCTTATTATTCTCAGCATACAAATTTTGAAAAAAAGGACATTTTCAAGAAAAAACTATCGTTATTCTTCATAATATTCTCCTCTTCAATAAAACTCCAAAATTCATCATCGATTTTGTTTTCATTTATGAAATTTTCGGACTAATAAAATTTTTAGCTTGTATTAAAAAGTTTGGATTTCATGGAATTCAATAAATAATATCATTACCATGACATAGAATTAAAAATCTCGGATTATGTCTGTTTTTCGTCTATCGATATACGCAGTTTGTTAATTGATAATCTGTTGTAAAATAGAGAGACAATCAACATGTAAATAAATACGCAAGAAGTAAATAAATAATAGATAACGATAACGTTAAATGAAATCAAAATCTGATAAAAATCAGTGGTACAAATCCTTTAATCACCAAGCTCATGTCTATCGTTATGGGAAATATTAATTCGACGTGTTTTCTTTCAAAAGATCTCACAATATTGTAAAGAATAAAAAAAGAAGCATTGATGTTGATGTTAATATTATGCTAATGGAAGGAAATCAACTTTTTAAGTATACCTCCAAAAAGATATAATAATTCATACAAGAAAAAGCATTATTGCTAATTATTTCTAAATGTCAAGATGGTTTTTTTATGATTTCATGATTTAATTTAGTATTAGAAAAAATTTTAAATCTTGATTTTTTAAGTTGAAATAAATTTAATAGAATGATCGGCCAGTAATCATGTGAAATGCAAATAGACAAAATTTTTATCGGATACTATCCTTTCTTCGATGTCTGCAGCAGACCAAGAAATTCCAGATTTTGCTTTTGAAACTCCCCCAGAAGAAAAAGAGGCCAATGCAAATATAAATGGGGTAAAAGACGCTCCACTGACTACAAAAAACATTCAAACACTTAAAACGCAAATAATTGAAATAGACCAGTTATTTAGTTTATTTGCACTGAAGGAATCAGGTTCTTTTAACTTATTTATCATATATAGATCTTTATATATATTTGAGCTAACAAGCTTCTGTTTTTCTAGAGCTATCGGCGGCAAAAACTCAAATAAGTGCTCTTGAAGAGAGCTTATTAAATGAAATAACGGCGAATGCAATCAAAGAAACCGGTAAATATGATTTATATATATTAAATATATATATTACAGAACGATTTATCTAATGAATTATTTTTTAATCATAGAAATAACACAGAAAAATCAAGAGATAATACAAAAAGATCAAGAAATAATAAAAAAAAATCAAGATATTGCGTCTTTGCGTGCGGGCTTGACGAAATTACGAGACCAAGTTTCAATTCCTGTGCAGGAATGTGAACGACTTCGAAAGGAAGTAAAAAGTTTGAACATTCAATTGGAAGAAAAAGAGACGCGATTGAAAGAACAGGGAAAAATAATAGGCGATGCGCAGCGAGTACGAAGCGATAATCAAAATTTTATGAATCGCATTAGATCATTGGAGGTAAAAGAACGTTGATTTATTGAAACATCTTTTCATCAAAAATTTATTTTAATTCTGTGATTCTTATCACGATCTTTTAGGCGTTGAAATCACAGCTGGAATTTAAAATACAAGAGAACGAAAATAATGCCTCAAGTAATGACCAAATAAAAAAAGAGCTTCAAAAATTTAAAAAGGAGTTTGTAAAGAAGTGAGTCTATTACTGAACGTTTAATTTGATTGTGAGTGGATTTGGAAATGTCCATCCACTAGTTTCTTGAAACTTTCATTAAAAAAAATATATATATATACAGTCCCTAGTATTGCACTTTCTCTAGGTGACATTTGGATTATTTGTTCTTCAATATGGTTAAAATAAATCTCCGACTCCTTGATTCGGGTGCACATATTCCACTCTTGTGCACCGATACTAGCTCCTAGCATTGCACTCTGCTGGGTATTAGAACAATATCAGTAATAAGTTTATTAATTTGAACATAGAAAGATGTTTATTCAATCTCACTAATATTACTTTTTCTGATTTAATTATTCTATAGGGAAGAGAAGTGTAATAAATTTAATACGGAAAGATTAGCACTTGAAGAGCGGATAAAGCAGATCGAGGCCGAAAAAAATCAACTCGAGGAAACGGTGAAAGTTCTCGAAAGTGAAGTCGAAAGGAGAAGAGATGAAGATTTAGAACGAGAACTGAACGAAGGTCTGAGGCAAGAATCTCTTGCAGAGAAGGACAGCAAGATAGCAGATCTCGATGAAGAATTAAAAAGATTACGTAATGAGATGAAAAGTTTCAATCAAATACGCAGCGAGTGTGAAAAACTCCGATGTGAGAATCATTCATTAAAGGCATCGGAAAAATCTCAAACAAACGATGATCAGCAGAACGAAATACTAAAATTGCAAAGAGAACTTGCTGAGTTAAAGAGCATTCGACAAAATAATCATAATATTGAGCAACAGTTAAAGACGGCAAATGAAGAGATCGAAAAGTTACGTCAGATGCTTCGAGATAGACCAAAAGAAACTTTAGACATTCATCCTAACGCCTCAAACCAATTTTTATTGGCTATGCAAGAATTAAATGCTTCGAAAAAAACCATTGAAAATTTGGAAAAAGTAAAGGTAATATAGATCTCTAGAATAGTGTCATAATATATTTTATCATAACTTTTTTGATTTACTTATATTTTAACCTTTTACTAGATAGCCTTACAAGACTTGGTAACAACGCAACAAATCCAAATAATGGATCTTCGCGATTCAAAACAAGCTGTTATGCCAACGGTATTTTTTTAAATTTAATCTGTTTGTATATTCTTAGTTTAATCATTGAAATTGATAAAAATCTTATATTATTGGATCTAGGTTTCTGTTCTTTCTTCAAATGTAATACAAAAAATCCCTAATAAAGATCCGTTGACTTCCACACATTCTAATCCTGATCTTACTAGTACAGTTCTTCCTATATTAGAGGAGCCAAGAAAAAGACGTAAAAATTCTGAACACAAATTAGGTGACAATAATACATTTGTTCTTATGAAACCAGATCCTAAAAAGAGAAAAGTGTCCAGACAAGGAACAACTCCCTCGATATCCAATTCCAATGTGGGTCAGGACCAACTCAAGTGTATGTACTTGAGCATATTAATTTACCAGCATGTTTATATTTATAACTAATTTCTTCAATTACAGTTATAAACAAAAAACTCCAAGAGCTCGCTGAAAATTCTGAGAGCATCTTCCATTCGATAAAATCCTTACAATCTTTTGCTTTTGAACAAAATGAAACTCTTATTCAAGCGATCGATCAAAACATTAAATTATTACGTACGCCACACAACTTGAAACCGGTCGGTGAAACGGATCAGGTAAAAAATATCGTTGACTTAAAAGGGCGGAGTATACCAATACCGGTGGTTTTGCCGAAACGTGAAGCTGTTCTCGTCTTGTTTCTTTGGTATATGTCTCGGGAGTTTCCAGATGTAAGTGTCAACGCTGTTTTGAAAGGTTTTTCTGAGTTTATACTTAAAATTGTTAATTAAATGCAATTTCTTTTATCCAGAGTATTATAATCGAAAAATTTCTGAAATACACATTTAAACAAATTGTTTTATCGAAAAATAAATCAAACGATTTGGGGATAGCATGGTAGATATTTAATTTTATGTATGATTGTCCTTACCAAAATATTTATTTACTTTGACATATTTTTCCCTAGTCGACTTTGTCGAATTTTCGCGGCACTTTGTCGCATCTCGCGTGATGTATATCGACCAAGAACTTTGTGTTTTGATCTTATTCGAGAAATACATAAGATCGATTACGTGGTAAAAATAGTAGAAAATATCGCAAAAATATGGCCACAAGTGCTACACAGTGATATATCATCGAACTCGCAAGGTTAGCCAGTTATATTACTTGAATATATTTCTTCAAACAAAATTAATCAAATAATTTTTCTTGATTCAATTTGAAGTTGTGACAATTTTAGGTATAATGGAATCGATTATTGCAAACAACGTTAAAGACCCGGTACGTTTTTATAATTAATTAAGGCAATGAGAATATGTTAGATAGCCAGAAAAAATAATCTTATATCTATGAATCTGTTCCAGAGTTTATACACCACTTTCGTGAGATACTGTTCATGGAACCAGCTCGACAACACTCTATCCCTTCAAGCCAGACTTCAAGCATTATCCGAACTTATTCAATCATCAGAGTTTCAAATAAAATGTAGAACAGAAGCGGACAATGGTAAAATTGAATAGCAATTTAAATTCATGTTTAATTAATGATCGATTATTGATTCCGCGTTTTTAGCTCAATTCCAAGAATACCGCTATAACCTTATTAAATCTTTTGAGCTGGTCGCATGCTGGAGTCCATGGCCCGAATTTTATGAAAATGTTGTTTGCGGTGTTTTACTTCCTTTGGTGGATAACGAAGATCTCGCAGGTATTCCGATCGAAATATTAGGCGAGGTGTGCCGAAAAGGAATATTAGATGCTAAAAAGAAGAAAGAAGTATCGGAAGTGGCTGCTCGTCTTTGTCAAAATCTTGCACTGCAAAGTGAAGGTAAAATTTAATTAATATATTTTATTCGATTCTTTTTTCTTTCATTTACTGATATGATATTTAGCTTCATTAATACAAAAAGCTCGCTATGCAAGTGTCATACTTAATCTTGCAGAAGGTGATCTCGAATTTGTTGATGCAGTCTTCCGATGGCATTCTTCATTAGAAGTAAAAAATGGACTGCCGAGTGTGCTTGTCGAGCAATTGAAGTTTTTGCAGTCTGTAACATCAAACTAAAATTGATGTATATTAAAGGTTACAAATAATGCGCTGCGTGGTTACGTCATGAAATATACAAACCTTCCCCCGAACCGGTCATGGGTATGCATTTAGAGAAGATGGGCATGTTATATATGAGTTCATTATCGTTATATAAATATCCCATCTTTTTTGGGACATATAATCACGAAATCTAAAAAAATTACACATTTTGTATATTATCGTTATCATGTTTGTATTTTACATCAGATTGATATTTGAAGTTAAAAACAAATATAATTTGTATATAAATATATGGGTCATTGCAAGAAGATTGATATACCAATATAAAAATTAATAATTGCTTCTAATAAAAATCATTCAAATTTTAATCAATCTTTATAATTTTTTATATTAAATAAAGAATGATCTAAATTAACTTTTTAATTATTTTATTATACTTTAATTTAATAATAAATAAA